AAGTAAATTATGTTATTCACATTAGGATCTAATTTAACTTATTAAAAACATTGCGGGTGCAAAAATTTATCAAGGGAAGAGCCATTGGCGCGCTACAAACAAAATTTTTTTTTAATATCAAATATAAAAAAATAAAATATTAAATTATTATTTAAATTATTATATTAAAAAATATTACTTAAATATATAATTTATAAAACGTTTTATTTAAAATTATATTATAACACAAAAAAAAATAATGTAATAGAATTATATTATAACACAAAAAAAAAATAATGTAATAGAATTTACGTTTTTTATAACTAAGAACTTCTTAAATTTAAAAACTATTTTTTAAAATATCAAAATTGTGATTAAGCATTTTAGAAATATTGAAAAAATATATAACACTTTGCTGTAAATATTGTCAAAAAAAGAAGATTGACTCCCCTCTCCTCCAATGTAAAAAACAGAATTATTTCTTATTTAACAAGTAAAGAAAACGGTCTCTTTCAGAATATTTCTGTCCACTGAGCAGATTGATTTTCTAATCATCCATTGGTTTGGCTTTATCTTCGATCTGTCCGTTGGATTTTGGATGATGCTCGAGAAAACACGTATACCGTCCATGGTCTTCTGCACAACTTTTCATTTAATGAATTCAAGACTATTTAATATAGGTAATTATTATTCAAAACAAATGATAATTATTATTTAAAATAAATTAATTTAAAAAAAAAATTTGGATAAGAATTGATAATACTATTCAAAAATTTTCGTTGCAGTATTATATTAAGGTTTAAGAAAATATCTTTTCAGGAATGTTTCCGTATGTGTGCCTGGCAACGATGCCACTCTTTTGTCGTGTAGATTGGCCACGTAAATTACAGCTGTACTTCAGACTGAAACAAAAGATTTTACCGATTAATGCAAATTCAATTGACGCAAACAGCGTAAAAAAAACTGATAGTCAACCAAAAGAATCTATGAAGTCCAACTATTTAAAATTGTCTTCAAATGAAATTTTTTATAATGAAACAATGCATGAAGGTAAATAATATTTTTTTTTACAATAATAATTCAATATAAGCTTAAAATATTTACAACTATTTTTAGAAAAAGCAATGAACAAGGAAAAAGATGAAAAGTATTTTGTTAAATCAAAATCTGAAAAGGAAACTGATGAAAAAGATAACGATACACGATCGTTTAAAAATTCAATTAAACTTAACGAAAAAGGAGCGACCAATGTTTATAAAAAAAATTGGATAGCTCAGCAATCACCGAAAACTACGAGAAAACAAAAGTTTGTAGCATCGCTATTGCTGTGTCATATTCTACTGCAGTTTTTTCTGCCATACTCACATTTTATATCAAAGGTACCACCTATTAATATTAGCATTATTATATTACCTTTATAGAAAATTTAGTAATTAAATACTTATTAAGCACTGAATAACAGTTTAAATATTAAAAATAAGTAATTAATTGCTATCTTTTAATATTAAATTGCTTACACAAAAAATAATTCTAAAATCTGCTGACATGTTTACTTTTACAATTAAATTAATTCTGCAAAAATATATGCAATAGGTAAAACGTCTTTAATTGCGGATTTTCTAAATTTATGTGAATTATCGTATGATTATATGTTTATTACAAAAATGTAACTTCAGGGCTATAACAATTGGGTACCTGGTCTATATGGTTATTCCTGGGACATGATGGTTCATAGTTGGGACACTATACACGTAGTAATTAAAGTGCACGATAACGTAAACGACGAAATACGGTATTTAGATCCTGTCGCTTGGGTGCAAAATGATCGATGGATGAAGCACGGGGACATGGCGATACAATATTCGCAATGTTTAAAGGTTTTTAAGTGCCATAAATAAATATCTATCTTAAATTTCCCAATAATATTTTTGTCAATAATTTTTATGCTATTATATTAATTAAATATTGAATTAATTTATGTATAAATTCAGAATAATCTGATGCGTCGAAAAGAAGAATTGAGGACCAAGCATTATTCTGAAGATATAGAAAAATGGATGAAATTGTCTACGAATTTAAGCGTTTACATAGACGTGTGGTGTTCGCTAAACGGTAGATTTCAACAGAGAATATTTAATCCAAACATCGATATGTTGACAGTTGATTGGCATCCATTTAAACCTGTTTCGTTTCTAATGCCGTTACTCACTCAGTATAGTTCGTATAGGTATGTCTGTTTTAGTCGCTAAATTAATTTATTATATAATGTAATAGTATTAATATTAGTAAAAAAAATATATCATAAAAATAATATAAATTAATTATATTATGAAAAATGATTAGTAATAATTATTAATTATTAATTATTATTATTAACTTTTAGTATATAATTATTAATTATTGCTAATTCGTAACTATCTTAATCAGCCGAGAGAGATTAAAAAAAATTATTCAAAATTTATGGCTAACACACACTCTCACACACACACACACGCGCGCGCGCGCGCGCACGCACGCACGCACGCACACACGCACACACACACCCTCCAGGAGCGAGTAAATTTGCAGTACGTTCACTTTAAAATTAACTTTGGAATAAATTTAGTACAAATTCGGAATTTATATAAATAAATTTACAAACTGAAGATGGAAATACATATAAACAGCTTTGAACACTAAAATATACAATAGAATTTCTACCCGCCAAAAATACCGTATACCGCTAATATAAATATCGATAGATTCTTCACTTATAAATAATTTTTTAGTAAACAAAATCAATAAAAAAAAATTGCATTTGCTTACTAAAAAGATAAATATTTTTTGGCAAGTATCCCTATAAATATTAGATCCCTATAAATAAAGATTTAATTTAAAAACACACTTAGCCACGTGTTTATTTCCTTATTTTAACTATTCTGTTTTTTATGGTTTTCAGACATAAAATGGATGAAATTCAACAGCATGTATACACTTGGTCAAATTTTACGGATGTATTGTTTGTGGCCGACTTTCCAGGAATGTACTTGGAAAACTACATATCCACCGATTTCACGAATGTTTCTTTGACGGTGCTAGAAGGCGAGATAACTTATGGCGAAGAACAATCGATGGATGTGATCACTGTGTCGAAGAAGAAATCGATCTCTGTCGGAACAGGGAAGTTTCATCGAATAAAAACTACGAGTTCTTATCCAGCATGTTATATGTATACTTACACAAATCAGACGAAGCAATTAGATAGCGAAAAGTAAGTATTACATAAATATGTCATAATAAGATATTGCTACATAAAAACGTATAAGTTTCTATTAAGATTTGGTGATTAATTTTGTGATATATTACGATAAGTTTTTGAATAGTATTTATAACGTATGGTTTATATTTTCTAATAAAAGAAAAATTAATTATTAAAATAAATAAAATTAATAAAACTTCTGTATACATGTTAAGAATAAGATTTTAAAATCAAATTAATACGTTTTGAAAATTTACACTTAATACATTTTTTAGAAGGAAAACACCTCCAGTAATAGAAAACATGCCACAACTATTAAAAGAAATTAATTATAAAATCAATGCGTGGATAAGAACATTCGTCCATATAACAAATGCCTTCTTAAACTTGATATACGATGTTCCTATGGTACGACGAGTACGTGTTAGCAAGTAACGAACATTAGTAATATAAATGAAAAAATAATAAAATTATCCCTTACATATTGTCTTAATGCATCTTATTTCTATTTATAGTTTTTCCAAAAAAATTTCTTTACCTTTTAAACGTAAATTAACTTGTATTAAATTTAACTAAAGTTAATAATATAGGAATTTAATAAATTCTTATTAAAAATTTTTTAATTATATTTCTCTCAGTGTATAAGTATTATAAATATTTTTGAAAGTATTAGAATGTACAATAAAATATGTTTATAAACTGGTTGATATAAATTACTAATTTTTAATAATAAAAATTATTTAGATAAAAAAATGTACACAACCTTTTAAAACATATACATAAATTGTAACTCACAGTATATGTACATTGTTATAATATAGGGAAATGCGAATATAGCAAAGACGTTATTTTTATTATTTTTATATATTATACAAAAACCATGTGATAAAATATACGTATACAGAATAAAACAGAACGACCATATTAGGCTCATAAAAATTATACTTTAAAATTTTTTAATAGAAATACCTATTTTTCAATTTTAAAGTGATTTTTACATTATTTCAACAATGCTCTCCAAACTAATATTTCTGTCTAATGAGTCATTTAAAATGCTTCAACTTTTATCTGGAACATTTTTCAAGAAAATGCACATTTTTGAAAAACGAGCTTGACAGTTGCCCTGTTATATCCTGTATATATTGTTACAAATTAATGTGATAATGTATTGTAACTTAAAATAGAATTATTAGACTAATATTTTTTACCAATTTCAGTATCTGGCTCAGAAACTTATAAATTCATACACCTATTTTGTAATTGTGCTAACTATAAAATGTACTAAATACGAATATTGTTAATAAATTATTCAAATTCTCTTATCTATTAATGTGTTCATAAAATTGTGTAAATCTTTAATGATCAGAATATATTTAACAAATAATGTTAAACAATTTGACAATTCTAATCAATAATATTTTAAATATAGCAATTAATTTCGTTTTTGCATAGAAACAAGTCACAAATGAATACATTATGAGTTTTCACTTTTCTGCTAATTTAAATACATCAGTATTAATAAATACATCAATACTAATAAAGTACAATGTCTAGTTTTCGAAAAATAAGGCAGCGTTTAATTAGGACACTTCAATATTGGTAAAATTCCTCAATTGTTATTATTATGCAATGAAAAATATTAAAAATCAATAAATAAAACAAAACTTTATTTTCACAAGACAATACAAATTATTATTTTATTTTCAATATACAATTTTTGCACAACACAGTTTTCAAGAGACGTATTGGAGACGTGGAGAACCGTGGTTTGTGTTACTGTTAACTAGTTATTCTTTGCTTTGACAGGATAGGTATAAAGATATTTCTTATAGTCTTCTACGTTAACAATGCGATGATCACCAATTTCCTGTTGATCATTGTTTATATATTCCAAAGCAAAGTGCTCTGTCTTGGGATTCTCAACTAAAACAATTAACATTTTTAGTTGTAAGTGTCTCAGGAACGTTGACCAATTTAAACATAATTCAATAACAAAAATTGGAAAGCAGAAAATGACGTTACAGTATCAGAACACAAATAAACATTAACCAAAACTCAATTTAAAAAATTATATACTAACTATTTTCTTTTTCGACTGAAATTTTCTGTGGATCATTTCCTACTACATGTATGCTTAATTTTCTAAAATTACTTCCGTTCTCTGTGTGCTCTGCAAAACATTCTTTCAGATCATTGATCTCTATGTCCTTCATTACAAGCATTTCCCTCTCGTATCTGTCAAAAACGAATTTCCTCGTTATTATCTCAACCCAGTTTCTATCAACTTCTTCACTAAGAATATTATCCAAATATTGTTTTGATTTTTTTGCAATTAATTTCTTCTTAAAAACGTCCAAATCCATTTCCCGGAAATTTTTCAAAATCTCATTAAACAATCGCAAAAATGTCTCGATCTGCTGATCCATATGCTCGGTTGTGCATTTATTTGCATCACTGTCCACGGTAATAGAATATCCTAAAACTCCGTTAATGTAGTCGGAACTGCACGAGACAATTTCAAACTGCAGTTTTTCATCTACTACCCAAGTGTGTATCATTTCATCCATTATTTCCTGAAAACAGGTAAAAATGAATATGATACGCGGATGAAATCAATAGCAATAACCGAATACGTTACACATATTTTATTCACTTATATATAGAAATATATATAGATAAAATACAAATAAATATAAATTGAGAATTGCAACGCACTCCAAAAATATACAAACGGTGTTATTTAATACTTACCATCATCAGATCGAGTAATACCGATAATTTAAAAGACGTGATACTAATTTGATAATAATTGGTCACTACAGAAGTTCGATTAGTTTTGTTAAAACTTTTTATCTTGCAACAGCTTATGCCCAAAGGTATTTGCATGACTATCATGTGCTGTAATGTATTACTAAGCAATGAATCGCAATTCATTATTTCGAGGCATTCCCGTACAGTCTCGATTGCATCGTCCGGTGTTATGTTACCTTGCACAAGACATTGGACGTACAAATGAGCAGTAAAGGATTTCACAAAGCGTCGGAATTCATCAAAATTTACACTAAATAGAGCAGTATGCATGTCGACGTCTGTATAATGAACAAGTTTCAAGATCGATAATTTCACGCTACTGTAAGAAAAAAGAAAGGAAGTTATTAATCAGCAGAGACATAAACTGATATGTTTCATTTTAGAATTTTAATTGTTATAGCTAATATGTTTCTATCTGTTACGTAAAAATCTTATGGTTGTTGTAAATGTTATGCTTAATAATAAATAAGCAGTACTCGATAAGATTATATGAATCCATAAATGCGTTGCTATAATATCCCCTATCTAATAGTTGCACTTTGCAAGTTTCAAATAAAGACTCCATAACAAGGGCTGGATAGTCAACCATGCATTTTGCAATAGTTCTCAACAAGAGCTGTAATGATTAAAATAATATATATCGAAAGGGTATTTATAAGAAAAAATAATAAGAATTAGAACTCTTGGTATAAAAAACACAATTAACAATAAAAAAAGCTAGTGAGAGTGGCGAAACTCGGAAATTTCAAAGCTTCATGTATACATATATATATATATATATATATATGTAGCATATATATATATACTTATAGCATCATAAATATATATATATGT